GGTTATTGAACCAATTAACCATTTTTTTTTTACAACACTTTTTTACCTTTTCTAAAAAAAAACTACAAATCATACGCATTGTGTATCATCAATTTTTATTAAGTTAATACTTTACTTTTCGCTTAGATTTTTCGTTTCTCATTATATACTTTAGTTCGATTATATAATTATTTAGCTTTATATTAGTTTTATAACCATCCTTTATATATTAAAGGAAAAACATTTTTGAATTAATTTGCTTAGGTGTCAAGCTCTCAATTTTTTAAAGTTTTTAATTAAAAATTAAATCATATTATTAATTCTCTACTATACTATTATTCAAACACTCCATAATCCTATTAATTCTCTATTATCCAAACATTACACAATCACTCAATCCTTCCAACCAAACATCATTAGAAAATAATTTTTTTGATTTGTTTTTTAAAAACGAAAATAAAAGAAAGTTTATTATAAATATTCACTTACTCTTATAATAATCTTAAACCTATAAAATTCAATTCATATTTGTATTATTTTATTTTGTATATTTGAGTCATAAACCGTATTTTTGAAAATTATAATATTAAATAAATTTATTTTATTATTAAGTGATATATTGACCAGGAACTAAAATTTTGTTGTTTTCAATTATTTCACCGGTGGGATACAATTCTATAAAAATAATTGCAAAATTCATATATATAAATGAGTTTTAGATTCTAGATAATAATTTTTCCAATAACTCGCGTATCACATTACTCCGCGTATAACGCGGATAGCTATCTTGTATCAAATTATTTGTTAATTTATAAATTTTATTTATCGAATATATTTTGCTTTTATTCACTTGCTTTTATTCGACTCGTGTTATCAAAAGCCCCAGTGTTTAAGAAAAAAAAAACTCAAATTATTTGATTTTATTAACTTGATCACCAATTAACTCATTAATAGCTTAACTTTTTTTTTGTTTTTTGGTCAAAATTAATAGCTTAACTTATTGCCCAAACCCATGGAAGAAAAAACAAATCCCCGCCTATAAGCTTTTTCGAAACCTAAAAAAAGTGTTTCACACACAATTCATGATTTTCAAAATAAGCGGCCAAAACATTACACGCTTCTTCAATACACACATCAAATTCCAAACAAACGCAACTCATATCAAACCGCTTCTAAACGCCAGTTGTCGCGTTACTGTAACAAAGAGAGAAATGGTAACACTAATCGTAGCCACCACCTACGACCCAGCGTCGATCAATCCCGCGGCGGCTCTTCTCTCCATGCCGGGATGGATCGCTGTACCCATCTTACCGCCGGTAAAATTCCGATCATTCTCCACACCTTACCCGATTTCTCTTTTTCCCTCTTCTGAT